CCGAGCCCGTATCGTTTATTCACCGTCACTACAAAATACAACTATAATATAAACTATAAAGTACATACGTGGGGGCCTCTAACCACCCTAGGTATTTGGCCTTCGGCCCACAAACTCAGTCACCATTAAAATAATCGCGCCTGCCTAACCCGCTCTGCATCCTCCTTCCGCCCGAGAATCGCCTCCACCATTCTGCCAAACGCCAACCTCAGTCCCTCCGCCATCGCCTCAATACCCCGCCTCCTGGATGCAGCATCTGGGAGGAGCTCCTGTTCCGGTCCCAGGATGATATCCGGCACATCATTGGGTTGTAGTGGCCGGCCGACGCATTGCTCCATCTCCCGTCTGTCTTCTGCCCAGAACGGACAGTTAAACAATGTGTGCTCCACAGTGTCGTCCGGCTCATCACAGTGCATGCAGTGGGGGTCATCTGCTCTCCTCCTCTTCCACAGGTAGTGCTGGAAGCATCCATGACCCGTCAAAGCCTGAGCCATGTGGAATGTCATGGCTTCGTGATTTGACTGATGCACCCACCTCCTGATGTCTGGAATCATCCTCCTCGTCCAAGCCGCCTTCGTCGTGTGATCCCAGATTACCTGCCATTCGCGCAGCGTTACCTCGCGCTCCTGCCTTCTTATAACCGCCACCGTCGTGGGCTCCCGCTTTCGCTCCTCGATTCTGCGTCGCTCAATAATACGCGGTACCTAAACCAACTAGGTATACGCCTTACTCAATTTAGTCTACTCGTATTCTCTAGTTGATGACACTCTCCAAAAATTAATTAGAATGGCCCTGTTGACTTTGAGGTACGATGATATGCGCTTGTCAATTCTTAGTTCGTTCCTATCTAGTTGAAATGACTCAAAGATTACATGTATACCTTGGCACTATTCAGTTTAATAAAACTTCACTGACACATAGTACGTATATCCCGGCGCTGCTCCTGCAAAAGGTAAGAACTTAAGAACGACTGAAATTATTATAAACTCGGGTTTTCAGGTCGGAAACACTTTTATTTTATTAAAACAAACATAAATAAATCACTTAGCAAATTCAGATTGCTTAGCCCGTACTATACGATCACACGTACAATCGTCGTACCTAGCCGAATCACTAAGCGACAACGGAAACCCATGCCTGCGCGTACGGCGGTGTTATATGGTAAAATATTATTGCTCAGCACGTATTGCTTCACTGGCCTATGTCAATAATTTACAATTTAAAATATTCCCACCCATATTACATATATATTAAACAATAATATTTTGACGACTGTCTACAATATACGAGTATACGACAGTTGATAACACTTATTTTAGATTCTGAGTGGAACGATGAATGTATAATAATATTGATTTTAAAATGATGTGTTTTTTTTTTTTATTATTTTTCATTTTTTAGTTTTTAATATTTTTTGTGTGTCTGTCTTCACTTTTTAGGACAGTCAAAATGCTTGAATTTTCTTCAACAGTATCTTTTCTGATAGGAAAGTGAATCTAGTTGGTACTTCAGGGGGATCAAAATTCAAAAGTAAAAATGTTCCAGTAGTTTTCAATAGGGCCGTGAAAAACAAAAGAAAAATTAAGTGACAACGGGAATTTTTAAGAAAAATCTGTTTTCGAGAAAATCGATTTTGGTTTTTGGTGCAACTATTAATTAAATTACTGTTGGTACATGAAATTTTGACTAAATATTTATTAATATAAACATTTTTCTATACACCCAGTGGCGTAGCCAGGGGGGGGGGTTGGGTGTTTAAACACCCCCCATTGACATTTCCCCCCTAATAAAAATATTGTTTATAGGGTTCGGGACTGCTTGCATATGTTTCATTGTAGTGGTAGTAGGTTATTTTAGATAAGTTATAAATTTGTCTTATCAAACAAAGTTTGATTTTGCAGATTTTTGCAAATTGTAGGAAAATTGTACATTTGAGCGATTTTTCGCATATTTGTGAATGTTTTAAATTTTTTTAACTTAAATGTAGGTACATACAATTGTTAAAATCATATTTGGATAACATTGAAAAATATCTTTAAAAATATTATGTTTGGTTAGGTATGCAATAGGCGCTAATTTTGAGATTTGGGGAAGCCAAAGCCTAAAACCATACTATTATAAAATTTAGTAAATGTTTCGGAGACCTGTTAAAGTTCTTGGTGGAGCTTGGCTACGGTTGGCCCTATTTTCGCATATGGTACGTAAGACTTTATAAGTGTTTTGTGACAAGACTGTGTTAAAACTATAATTGACATCTAGATTCTAGATTGTACGAAGAAATGAAAATCAGTAGATACGTGTTCGTTTATCACGGGGTTCGCATATCATGTTATTCATTATTAGGTACTCATTTATTACCTAGTATTTTATACCAGCATTTTTAAAAATCAAGTTTTATTTCATAATAGTTTAAAAATATCCAAAACATGCAATAGTATCCTCCGTCCATCATATTAATCATTAATCAATATAGGTACCTACCTATATTAAAATTTGTATACCCGTGTTTAAATTATTTTTATCATGTTTATATAGGTACCTACTTAGTTTTTAGTTTTTTATTATAAAAATTGTAATATGTTTTATGAATTTTTCAAAAATAATATAAAAATGTAGCTACATATATTTAAGCATATTTTGAAAATCTTGACTGCATATTTCGATAGTTTTTAGTGCAACAAGTCAAGTCCCAAATCCTAAATTTATTTATATACGAAAACTGTAAAAACTTGGTTTTATTCTATACTTAAACACCCCCCATTTCATAATTCTGGCTACGCCACTGTATACACCAATACACCATAACATTTACCAAATATTTTGACTTATTTTGAGCTGTTTACGGACATTTTCAGTTCCCATTTTTTTAGTTTTTTTTTTCTAAAAATATCAATCAAATTTTATTTGTTGGTTAAAAAAGCTTGAAAATTTAATAGAAGGCTCCTAGTATATTGTTTCAAAGGCAGATGAAAAAAATTAAAAATTCATAGTCACATTTTTTTTTTATAAGTATTTACAGTTCAAATATTGACAAAATACTTAAAAATGATGAAAATTAGCCAATTTTTTGAGTTAGAAATTCATAAAAAATTTTCTTTTCAATTTGAAAATGTATTACAAGATTTAAAGATTATCCATAACTGACTTGCAAAATATTTTTTGTACTTGCAATTACTTGCTAATTATAAGGAATCCATTGATAACAATTTCGAAAGTGTGGGTGAAAAAAAATAGGCTGTTAGCCCTAAAGTTTAAAGTTAGCCCACCTTTTTTTATTTTTATCCCGTACTTAAAAATAGTGACTTGCAAATTTTAAAAACCTAACTTGCTAATTATTTGCTAAATATTGATATAGATTAGAATGGTTTGAGAGAAATTGGGTAGGCCATCTTCACGACCATATTTTTTTACAGTCATAGACCTAGTGATAACACTATAATATACCTATTATAATATTATGTACAAATGTACAAACCTATAAGTCATTAATAATAATAAATTTTTATTAAATAAATTTTTAAACCGAACTCTTTTAGCCTTTTCTTTCTGCTAATGAAGTAATAACACTTATTCCTGGAATGTTTAGTAATACTGTTTACTGTTATAGGAATCAAAAATCAATATAATTGATTTTTAATTTTTCTGGGATATCCTATCAGCTTGTTTTTGCAATACATTCAAAACCATTATTTTAATAACGTGGAAAATAACGAGTTAGAGCGTTACTTCATAGAAATTACTTTTCAATAGTAATTTTGTTACAATTGCGTTACTTAAAGTAAAATGTAGTGAAATTACTGCTGCGTTACTGAAAAAGTAATTGCGTTACAGTACTTTGTAATTTGCATTACGTTACTACCCAACATTGTAATTATTCAATTTTGTAGAGCCCAATAAACGTTTTTGAATATCTTAAACTAATAATTTTTTTCCTGACACTAGAGTCATCATTAAAATTTTCAACGAATTTGTTACAATATAATTGTATGTTAATAATTCAAATAACACATAAAAATAGAATTTTGATAAATTGAGCTAGTGTAGATTCATCACAGAAAGGAGTTCAGAACTAGCTATACTAAAAAAACAAAATTTATATGAATTATAATTTATTGCAATAAATTATGGGGACGTTACAGTGGTATTTGTTGTCTCCGTCTTACAAGGGCGTAACATAGCAAATTTTAGAACAACACGTTTATCTCCGTTAGTTTAAAAATCAGAGCGAATTGACCTCTTATACAATTTAAAGGTAGGGTTATTATCTAGACATTGTAGAAAACCCCTTACAATTTTATATAGTAGTATAAATTATTGGAAGGTTCTGTTCTCTATGATTTTAACTATTATTAGTTTTTAAGTATAGATACTAGTATTGGGAAATAAAATGAAAATTCTACATAGTCAATATCTGTATCAATATGGTATTTTATTGGGCCACAGTGACAACAATTATCCATAGGTCCCAGTTAATAAATAAATTCATTTTGACTCTGAAATAAATACAAGCCCATGGATAAATGTAGCAAAGACCAACTCAGATAAAATGTTGAATTTAATAAATTAAACTCAATGGTGTCATAGTTGCACAAATAAATTTATATAATAACAGATATATTGAAAAAAAAAACAACATTAAGTAATATTTAACACATGATGCAATGTACAATGTTTGCCATGAATTATGTTTCACATATTATGATATTATAATAAGAACAATAATACGTATTGGAATGTTAATAAAACATCTGCACTGCGCTGCAGAATTGCTCTAGATGCTGGTTCACCTGGTAGACGGCTAATGAATCGCAGGGCTTATTATGGCCCAAGAGCTAGCACCATGCTAGGGACCTGCTCACAGGGCTTCCCCCAAACGTCAGCAAGTCACAAAGCACTACATCTGCCTGTGCACAATAAACAAATAAATATAATGTTCATTAAATCAACAGAAAAATGTACACACACCTGGACACCATTGATCCAGCATGACTCATGGTTCATCATGACTTTTTTGGTATTTCTGATGCTTCTGCAATCACTGTTGCATCTTCCTCAGGTTGTTTTTCTTCCCTGTTGTCCTCATTAGAATCTGCGAGGTTCTTATTTGGCTGAACCTTCTCTTTGTTATCGTTTACCTCCTCTACATCATCATTCATCTTTTCATTATCTTCCTCCAATTCCAGTTCATCCGCCGCATCAATTACCACAGCTTGGGGCTCTAGGAGTGATCGACGGTTGTTGTGCTCACGACCTATTCGGTGAGAAAGCGCTCGTAAGCGTTCCTGTTTTATTAGCATTGTAAACAAAAAAAATATATAAATAAACAATTTTGTCAGGATGTATATTTTGTTTGTCTGAGCAGTGAATTTAATGCAAAAAGTGTTCTATTTACTGGAATAGGATTTAGAATATGCATTTAAAGTTTACAAAATATTAAATAATACTAATACATAGTTATTAGAGCCCGGAATTATATGCATTTGCATGTTTGTACTAAGTGTATGCAGGTCTAGGGGGTTTTAAACCGTCCATGGTTTATATTACACCGAATTTAAACACCAAATTTTATATTGCATATTTGTTCATAAATGTATATAACATGCATATTTAATGGTTTTTACTTTTTAGTAAATTTTATTTTAAGATAAATACATTTTAGCAATTTTAAAGGAGAAAATAAATCGTTAACAATATCTATTGTCATATTTGTTATAATTAAAATTATAAAATATTGCATTTTGATTTTTAAAGTATTACAATTTTAATTATTTAAATATTTCTTTTGTTTCTACTAGTAACTACTAACCTAGTATCTACTTTCCTTGAGGTAAAAGAGTGGTTTTTTTAAAAAAAAAAACATATTTTATAATGTATAAAATAATGCATATAATTGCATATTTAGCCACTTTTTAAATGTATACCTTATACCTAAATAATTCTGGGCTTTAATAATTATACATAGTCAGTGGTGTAGTGAATGGTACACGCGGGTACACGGCGTGTACTAATCTCCCAATTTTAGATTAATATGTGTACCCTTAACGAAAATTGTGATTCGCGGGTACACGGACCATGAACCATTAATGTTACCCAATTATACTTTAAAATTTATTTAGGAAATATTATTGGGTAATATAATATATTTAACTACAAACAATAATTCAATAACAAAAAAAGATAAGGGTAATTTGTTTACTATTGTCATGTAACAATATAGAAGCGTTCAAGATTACTAATAGAAATATTTCAAATTCAATGTTCATAAACATTAATGATCCACCTTTACACAAATGGAATCCTAAATACTATGTCAAAAGTTGGTTAACCTTGCATAGAGATGCTGATGACAACAAGTCAAGAAAAGTTAATACCACTACAGATCCAAACCAAGACCTAAAATACAAACTATGGGAATTACTTGAATAATATATAAATGTTTAGAAATATTTTATAATAATAAAAAATAGTAATTATATGTTTTATGAATTTGTTAATTATATTTTGATAAAATGTAGTTTTATTTTTTTTTTAATGGATTATGAGTTTAAAATATATCAATCATAATTTATGAGGTTCTATTGTACATTATATAGACAAATAGATGAAGTATTGTACGAGTACCGAATGATGGTGGAGGACTGGGGGGTTTGTGGGGCGTAGCCCCCAAAGTTATTTTTCACAATGATTAAGATGTGAACCCATGAATTTTTTTAGGACTACATCACTGTACATAGGTATAAACATTCATGTCTTACACAAAATATTTTCATGATACAATTAATCAATCTATGCTTTATTTGAGTTAAGAATCATTCAAAGCAATGGCCAAATTGAGCATGGGGGCATAATTTCACTATACGGCAGGCATACAGATGATTGAATCTGTGGGGATGAAGGACGGGTGTTGCTTGACCACCGTACAGTATGTTTCTTGACTTGAATAGAGTAAACATGTGATTACATCTATAGTGGTGAAAATACTGAATATCTATTTTACTGTAATAAAGGTGTTTGGTGATAATTTAAGTGAAATAAGCAGAATAATGAGAACACCTAAGTAATAACTATAATTACTAATAAGCAATATCCACTAGATATAGTCACCATAAAAGGTTATATAATTTAAGTGTATTCTTATTACATGTTATAGTTCCCACTTCGCTCAGAAAATAATGATCTAGTTAAGTTCAGCAGTTCTTAAACTTTTGGTGAAGACGGACTCCTCGTGGACAACTTTTAGATATTGAGGGCCTCCTATCAAATTTTCTTTCAATTACCTTTTTTATTACACCTCACATAAGTAGGTACATAAAAACATACACATTTATAATTATTTTTATTATAAATGGTTTTTCATAAAAATGTAATATTTTATTTTTAGATAGAGGCTCCGCGGACCCCCAGGGGTTTATGGATAGATTTTAAATAATAGTACTAGCAGCAGTAATGATACCTGAGTAGACTCCAGTATATTTCCCACAACGGCTATCTTGGCACGTGCGTCACACAATCTACGAGCATATCCATCTAGTAGGACACATGTGTCAGTGGCGGTTTTTGTCGTAGCAGTCACTGTAGACGAAATAGTCTTGTCAGCAGAGGCTGGCAATTGTGTTGATGACATGGACGTTGCAGCAAATAAGTAGTCGTGCTGTGCCAACGACAAGCGCTTGAGTTCGGTAGCCAACGAGTCAAGCTGTAGTTTCAGGTCAAGTTGGCTCAATCTAACAGGCAGAAACAGCGATAAAATGTACCATAAAAATAATAAAATAGGTATCAGTATTTACAGTAGTATATCTTTGTTAGTTAATCATTGGTGTAGGATACAAATATAAACATCACATAATTTTACCTGGTGCACTGGACAGACGCGTCCAAACGGTCAACACACGGCCTGAGCAAACTGGCAACCAGACCGTCAGCCAGCGTGTCACGAGTGGCCTCTGATGCGGCGACGGCAGCAGCGGCCGCTTCGTCCAGGTCTTCATCGTCTGGCGAGTAGTCTGTTGTGACTGCTTCTGAACGGTTTAATGGCAAGTCCAGGGCGGTGGCACCGATAGACTCGGCTGCAGAAATTTCGTTATCCATGGACTACACGGATTTGAGTTGGATCGGGTACGGCTGTTAAATCCGGTTTTCTGTGCACTGAACGTGTCGGATTATATTGTCAATAGGTGTAACGATTTATGCTTATATTATACTTACGGGGTATGGCTTAGGTGTTAGGACTTCACTAGATTTGGCAAAAGGCGTGGCTGTTGGTACTAAAGTTGTAAAACGTAGTGAATAGTAAATACAAAACGCAATAATTATAATAGTGTAACGTAAAGGTGTGTACCGTGTACAATATCAGCGTTTGTATTAAATCGTCTGATAACGGCGGTATCGCGATAACGAACTCACGAAGTTATTCATTCGTCAGCAGACGATGACAACGTTCCGACAGTAGCTCTTACGTACAACTGGTACAACTGTTGTATAAGGTCTATGCGTATTGTTATATTCGATCACGACGAATGACGATCACTGATGATGGGTACAGCTGTACTACAACTACTGTACTACAAGTCACTTGTTGTTGTTAAGGATGGGCCAAAGATATCGATATTTGTAATTTGTGGTTTATTGGAGGGTATACGTCGCATACCCGGATCCCTATTGTTGGATTTATGCGTGTACCTTTAAAAAAAATAGTCTTTTATGGGTATACGCACTCTTCCAATTTATGACAGACAATACAGTCATATTTTCACCAAACAAAAGTTAAAAATAATAATAATAATAAACAAATTAATGCAATAATATTTTATTACGACATTAAGTACATTGTCCAAAAACAGCCCAACTAAATTTTACCCGACTTCTGGTTCTTGCGAAGACGATCGGAAACTGCCATTAAAATGATTTATAATAATATTTAAATGGTGATATTGTGATAATATGTTATTCAGGGGATTGAAGGCGGTGATTTAATAAGGGGTCCCGTATAGGCAATTCCATGTCTTTTATTCGTTACGCAGTGTGGTTGTGTGCGAAGTAAATGGTCATTAGTGTGCGTAAATACGTTCGGAATCCGTCGTGCCCGCTTTCGCACGCACACGCACATGTCAATAAATCGAGAAAAACGAAATATATTCTACTATGCATCACCTATAAAAACTACCAAAAGCGGTAGTAAAGTAAACATACTTCCTGAAGTTTGATTGTAATTTTGAAAAAAGGGTTGAATTCGTAAGCTCCTAGACTATGCTTTGTAGGAACCACTTTTTTGATATAAAACCCAAAAAGCCCAAAATAAATACAAATGTAATGCAATTATTTCATGAAATTTTTTTAAAAAAATATCCATATTATATGTTCCTTTAAAGTTAAAAAATTTGAAAATCGACTTCCTAGAAAGTCTAGTTATTTTTCCAAAGAATTCATACTTATATTAAAAATTAAAATCGGACATTCGGAAGTATGTATATATAGGTACCTATATTCAACTATTTTTAGGTGCGTATATACCCATCAATTTATTTACCAATACACCACTGACTACAAGTGTTGTAGTACAATAATACTCTACATTTACCTACTGACTACTAACTGTAGAGTCAGTGGCGTCCGCAGGATTTTTCAATGGGGGGGGGGCTTGAAAATTAGTTAGGTACATTTTTATTTTGTCCAGTCTAATAATTTCTGACGTTTATTTGAGGTATTTTAAAATGTTTGTAACTTTTCAACTTTTCTGGTAGAAAAAATGCTCTGATCATAAGCTTCGATGCCCAGTGTATGTTTTTGGAAGCAAATTGGAATAATTGGATCTAGTTTGTACTTTTAGGAGGTCGAAATTGAAAATGCTCAGTGCTTTTAAAAATAATTGGGGAAAAAAAATGAAAATTTATTTAAATGTTTGGTTATACCGTCTTCACTTGGATTGTATTTGAATAATGAAATTTTTTTCTATAAATGTCAATAAAAAATTATTTATCCGGTCAAAAATCTTAAAAATGTAATACGTAAGTTATTTTTTTATAGTTAAAATATTAACGATACATAGCCATGGTGTGAAAAAATGTCATGAAATTTAAAAAAAATGAAATATTTCAGTATTTTGATATATTTTGTTTTATTTTTAAATAAGTTTTATATTTATAAATAATTGTCATAAATTACCTTCTTAACTGTATGTATACCTAACCTTTGGTATTATATACATTTAAAATGGTATTCAACATGTTTAAATGATACAAGTAGCCAAGTAGGTATACAATATTATACATATATATTGTATAAATACTGAATTCTGTCATTAGAATTTAGAACACTGAACATTGTTAAAAAAATAAATAAATCGTGTTTTTATTTGTGTAAAAAAATTTCAATGTGTCACGTTTTTGTGAAATATTTCATACTTCATACACTACATGTCTACATAGGCACCATGGTTATTTTTATAAGCATTTAAAGTTCAAATTTCATCAAAATGACAGTTAATTTGTAGTTCAAAACTTATAAAATATATATAGCTAAGGCTAGACAATTTAATACAACTATACAAGGTCTTTCATACAAGTAGTTCATACTTTTACCTAAAAATTACAGATAATTTATGAAAATTGGTAGGTATGCAAATACAATGTTCTTTCAAAAATGAATTCATTCTGGTAAGACATATATGAAATTTACTTCTTGCTTACTATATAGTTGACAGTTTTAATATTTTTTTTAAAAAGTAACAATAATACGGGCAATGAGGGGGCTTCAGCCCTTTAGCCCTTCCCCCCCTGCGGACGCCACTGTGTAGAGTGTATAAGTTATAATTCACTAATCAACTTATTTATTTTATGAACGAAATACAATTACCTATTACAAGAACAGAACTAAAAGCTAAATGATTATAATAATCAAACAAAAAAACATTAGTGAGATCATGAGAAGTTTACATTTGAAAGAAGACTTGATCAAGTTTTGTCAAAAATGTATTTACCTTCATTCTAAGAAAAAAGTTTTTAAATGGAATAACTAAAAGTGTTTCCTATTGCTGAATAGATTATAATGCATATTGCATACATACTGAGTACTGGTATTCAAGAAATATAATAGAATATCGATTAATCGATCGGAGTTTTCAAATAATTCATAGAATGCTATACTAAATAATTTAAAAAATAACTTTTCATTTTTAATTTTGAACTAATTTTTTTCTACAAATTTTAAATTTTAAATTATATTTTATGGATTCATTTTTGTACAAATATTAATTAAAATACGTCTTAATCAGAGATGACGAATCGATCAAGTTCTGTTTTACCAATGTCAAATGTGACACAATTCGCGGATAGTAGGTAGGGCCCCACTGCCCCAGTATAGTTGTTCACTGATATCCGATACTTCCGTTACTATTATTTGCATACACGATGACCTATGACCATTATTTGCGATGTCAAGAAGTACTTATCTATAGTTGTGGTTTTGGTTCTTGCGTTTTCGCCGATAGCCAAACGATGTCAAAGACCTAGAAGGAGAAGGAGAAAATTGAGATGGGACCGTTGGAGGTATCGCGGTGTCAGCAAAAAAGGAGTATAGTTACCTACCGGAGTTCCAGTGCGAGACGGGTTTCTGGCAAATCAGGAAAAATATGGTGGACCGTTTCATATGATAATTTCAAAAACGCTGCCCAAGTAATAGATGGACCAAAATTTGGATGTCAAACCAGTAAGGGGATATCAGTGGCGACAAATGCCACAGCCAACTTGGACATCGGTCTTTAAATGTGAGACACTTTCAAACATTTCCCCTGGTTTTCCGGGATCCCATCTCGCACTTTAAGTTTAATAACTGCTCCTTCTTCCACCTTCAACGGTACCGTCTCTAATTTATCCTTCGTCTACTAGGTCTTCGGCTACACATCGTTTGGTTATCAGCGAAAACGCCCTAGCCAAAACCACAAATACCTATAGATACTTGTCATCGTGTATAAAAAAACAGAAACGAAAGTATCGGATATCAGTGAACAACAACTATCGATTAAGTATTATAAATTATAATGAATAGATACATACAATTTAAATTAATACTTTGAATTTAAAATCTGTAGACAAAATTGAGTTAAAATACGTTATGATTTTACATTTTTACCCACCCAGCGGCGCAAATCATTAATTTATTTGTACAGGAGGCCAACCTAGAAATGTATCAGCCGGCAATCACCAAGTACCTACCTACTAACCATCATTATTCACTACGAGTTTGATGAGTTGATCAGTGCTCACTCCAATCAGTAGGTACTAGCTAGGTACTACATTTACATTTTTACAATATAATTATTAATTACATATAACTTTTACCATTATCCAATCCACCATATATAGGTAGGTCGTAGATGTACACACAAACCTACCACAAATGATTTTATTCGGGGGGAAGTACCCACCCCGCTTCAGGGAATTCCGAATTACCATCATTGCTTGTAATAATTATAATTTAATTTTACCCTCAGTAACAGTGTGTTTGTTACTCCCCAACGGTAATATTGTATTTGTGCAGTGAACCGTGGTCAATAAAATATCTATAATTATAATACATTTTAATGTAGTAGCAATTTCCATGCTATAAAAAAAAATAAATGGACAAATCTGCAAGTGCTTCACAAAAAATAACAAATTACTACAAAAATCAAGTTTCACTAATATTATAGTTCTAGCTGATAGTATAGTGTATTTTTGTGTACCTACTGTACCAATAGTATATATATATATGTATACAATAATAAACTACCTATATAGTATATAGCACAGATATCTATACTATATAATATAGATATCTGTTGTATATACTATACAGTCCCTAGGTATATACGACATACCTATTTGGGGAATGGGGGTTCATTTTAATCCATTTTTATATAGGGATATGATAAAAGTTCAAGCGCACATTATTACTGCCTCGCCCATTCAACAATTATTATCGTGTACAGACGTACCTACAGTATAATATAGTCTACACAGACACACCACACACAGTACATACTCGAGTGTGTGAGTTATTTTTTTCAGTTATACATTCGTAGCACATGCCACATACCTACGGGCTACGACTAA